CCGCCTACCTCGCACACGCAAGAAGCAGCAGCGGCCCAGCCTAGCCGGCAGGCAGAGCAGACGCAGCCACGCGGGGGCAACCAACCCACACTACCAGCAGCGGCCAACAGCCCACACAGGGCCCAGATGCCTGGACCCAGCCGGTCCACAAGCACCACTGCCTCGGCATCAGCCCGGGAAGCCCGCCATCGACCAACAAAGCCCACCTGCCGCCGCAGCACAGGCAGAGGCACAACCAGCGATGGCCTTCCAGGCAAACCAACAGTGCCTTCAGCAGTACACAACAACCCAGAGCGTGCAGCCCGTCCTCTACCAGCAGCACCCACCCTCCGCCACAGCACAAGCAGGGGCGCAACCAGCGATGGCAATGCCAGCCAAACCAACAGCACCTACAGCAGTACACTGCAGCCCAGCACATGCAGTCCGCCGTCTACCAACAGCACCCGCCTTCCGCCACAACACAAGCAGGGGCACAACCAGCGATGGCATGCCAGCCATACGCCCAGCATCCTCAACAGCACACCGCAGCCCAAAGCATGCAGCAACCCACGGGGCCACAGAGCACTCAACTGCAGCCGCAGTACACTAGGGGGATGCAACCTGGTCGCACGCCGAGAGACAGCTGGGGGTACTATGCGCCAGTCTATGATCCAGACACCGACCCATGGCACGAAGATGAGGAGAACGACCCACCTCCTCCACAACAACACCCAACACAGGCCACATGCATGGGGAACGCACAGACACAACCCATATCAACCCATCGTCTACGCTGCGGGAGGGGACCGTCCCAACAACATAGCCACAGCCGGGACACAGCAGCAGACCCCACACTGGCATCAAGCACCACCACAGGCGCACCAAGCCCAGCAGCCAACGCAAAACCCCAACGGAGTCGCCCAAACAGCAGCCGGATCCCCACAGCAAAAGCCGGCACAACCGGCCAGCCCGCGGCAACCACGCACAGCACCGCAACCGCTGGGGGAGGACCCTCCACGTGACACAACAGCAAGCAGAGCAGCCAGTGCAAGCAAGCACGCCGCCAACCGTCCCGGACAGCCAGCCGGAGGCCACGAACCAGCCCCCGCCATGGGACGTGCCAGCTGACTACGTGCTGCCGTGGGACGCGCGACGCAACCCACACCACACCCAGACCACCGAGCCCACGGCACCAAGCAGCAGCTCCGGAGAAGCCTTCCAACAAGCACCTGGAGCAGCAATGTGGATGTTCTGCTCTGCAACGTGCAAGCTGTCATGACGTTCGTACCAGCTGGGGGAGAGCAAGTCCGACAGCTGCTGGCAGTGCTTCGAGTTTGGAGACAACAAGCTGGGGGAGGTGCCATCGAAGTGGATACCCGAACAACGGACGAGGTGGGACCCGCTCCGCAGCAGCCTGCGGATCTGGGCAGATGGGTGCCGCCGCTTGACGCAGAGCAATGGACGGGGAGCCTGCCGTCGTCAGCGGTCCCGCCCGACAGCTCGCAGGGGGATCCTCATGAGCCCACAGACGACGACCTCTTGCAAGCCCTGGAAGACTTTGAAAGACAAGAGCAGGAGCTGGGGGCAGTGGGGAACGAAAACCGCGAAGAAGCACCTCTGAGCGGGGAGCAGATGAGCGCCTCGAACACCGGCGCCGTAGAGGGCTAGCAGCACTTTGAAAGCCAGGGGGAACCCGACATGTGAGAGTTTGTGTGAGAGTTGAGAGCTGCACTCCATTCCATGTTCGTTTCGCCTAGGGCGCATTCGTGGGGTGCTGCGCGCCTCTCTTCCGGCTGTGTGGAAGAAGAGAGATGTGGAGATGCCTTGGCCTTGGGGGGCCAGGAGCCCTAGAAAACTTCCCTGGCGGCCACCTTAAAGGGCAACAGGCTGCCCGAAATGGCCCAGTCCAGCGAGCCATAGCGAGCCCTCGCTGCCCTTCGAGAAGTTCTGCGAGATAGTCAGTGCACGGCTCAGAGACGCCGAACAAGCTGCTCAAACGTTGTCGGCGCCACCCGAGCGACTTCAGGTGTCGGAAGCATGACCTTTGAACTAATTCGGATAAGCGAGGGGCACATACTCAATTTCTTTTGCCGCAGAGTGGCGCTCCACAGTGTCTAGCATAAGGTTAGCAGGGCGGTCATTCAAGTACTTTTCTTGCCCCACGTGGTGCTCTGATCCACCGTACCTTGACATGAGGAGCACGCAATCGTCCCAGTGAGGTTGGCCTTGGCAAGTGCAACCTCTGTCTCTCTGTCTCCCTCACGCACAGGCTTAAGTCAGGCGGGGCACTCCTTTCTGAGTCTGTAAAGCCAAGCGCATCCACCGAGATTCGGGCATGGGGTGCGCCCGTGTCTGTAAAGGCATCCGTACACAAGATGCAGCTCGTGCAGTGATAGGGCTCTAGGTGGAGGACCTGAGGCCGTGCCCTTTTGACTGAGCGTCAGTGTCATGTGAGCTGGGTGAGGCTCCGGGACCGAGGCCAGGCAGTGAGTGCGTAAGGTGCTTTTTGTATTTTTTGTCCGGAGGAGACAAGGCAGAGTTCAAACAGGTGGGTTTATGTTGGGTCAGGTCAATGATGACCCAAGGCATGACAGACTGGACTCAATGGAATGTGGATCAAAATCAAAGTATACAGGACCACGAACACTTTTTCAGGATCAACAAGAAATGTAACCAGGATCAAACAAACTTGCGCTCCGCTGCTGCCTGTCGGAAGTATTGTCACCATTATTGCTCTCAGCTATTCACAGTATTTACTTTACTTTTGTTACTCTTACAATTCTTTATTGCCCTAATTGTTCTCACCATTATGATGATTACTGCCGGAAGTACTAGTATTGCCAAGGCCATTATTCCTTACAGCTGTATGCATGATTACTGCTATTCTTCTTCTTATTATTAACAATAGTTTTGTTATTGCTCCTAGAGTGCTTCTTAGTTTACTTGTTAATATACTTATTATCTTGTCATTTCATTTGATAATAATTATTATTACTGCTAGTATCATTGCTGTTATGAGTATGACTAAGAGTACAATCATAATCGTAATATTAATAGTCAGAGTAACAGGAGTAACAACAGTGTTAACAATGACAGCAACAATTAAGCTAGCTATGATGATGATGCTGGTTTTTGCATTTGTTAATGATATTCTTGGCATCATGATCATTATTGTTGTTATCTTTATTTTTACTATTAGTATTCGTATTCGTACTAGTACTAGTACTAGTATTGGTAACAGCATTAGTATACGTATCAGTATTAGCATTAGCATTAGTATTAGTGTTGGTGTTAGAATGTGTACTCATATAATTTGGATTGTATGCATTATCTTCCAGCGGAGATCCCCAAACAGCGAAAGACCACACCAGAAGCATGCCATGGTATGCCATTGTGATCAGGACGTCGCGACCACTGTCACGTGCGAAGAGGCTTTTCAAACACAGGTCGCAACTTGTGTTTCCAGCATTTACGTCATGTCTCCACCTACGACGGACGACCACACCGACCATGACGACAACGACCAGGGCCCGGAGACCACCAAAGAGACCAGCAAGAGACAACCAGGAGACCAGCACCAGGCCACCAGGAGACCACCACGACATTGCCAAAATGCTTTCCTAAGTACTGGCGGGATTCAGAGCACGCCGAAATCGCATTCCCCAAGTACTGGCGGCTCGAGGACCTGCGCATCCTGCGCGAAAGGTACTTTCCGCCAGGTACTGGCGCGTTTGCGCAGGCGACTTATGATTTGCCCCCACATCAGCTGGCGAGATCCACAATCGTTTCTTCCAAGTACTGCTGCGATTCAAGGTTTTCGACAACAAAAACGTGGTCCATATCTGGGCGCGCTCGGCATGCGAATCCTCTGAAAATAATAGGACGTCAACGAAAACTACGGCATGCCAACCCTCTGAAAATAATAGGACGTCAACGAAAACTATGCACCGCGTCACAGCGGCAGACCCGGGCCGCGAGCATCCTGTGTAATAATAGGGCGCGGGGACCCGATATGCAGCATCTGCTGTAAATAAGAGGACGTGCGGAGCTTCTTTTGGATTCCCGAAGTGGTACATAGTGTCTTCTGGATCCTGTTTGAATTTTTGTTTGATCCCTGGGGGATTAATTTCGTCCTGTTTCGTTTTTTTTTTGATCCGGCACCCGACTCAATGGGCAGTTCAAGCGCGTGCAAGAGACGGCGAGAGCGACCCCACCCCAAAGCAAAGCAAAGCGACAGATAGGGACTGCCACCCGATGAGCACCAGAAGGAACCCCCAGAAGGAAAGCTATATAGAAAGTTGTGAGACTGAAAGGGAGAGCGGAGAGAGAGAGAGAGAGAGAGCGAGAGCAGAAGAGAGAGCTCCCCTAGCCCATAACCCTGACGAAAGAAAGCAGAAGAGAGCCGTTTGCTTCACATGCGCGTTGTCCTGGGGCATATCCCTGCCGCGCCTTGAGCGGCCGTCAGCTCCGTTTGCTATGTGCTTACTCAAGCATTCCGGACCCGAAGCTGAGGAGGACGGTCATTCATTGCAGTTGTTTTTCTACCTTCGTATTCTTGCAAGGACTGTGCTCGCATGGCTCTCCTCAAAGCTTTCAGAGATGATTGCAACTTTGTGATATCAACACCTCCTTACCGGTTGTCGGCGAACTTCCAGCTTCGATGGGCAGTGTGAAAGCCCCGACCCCACAGCAGTGTTGAGCGATGGAAAGGCGGTGTGCTACATATCACAAGCATCGTTTATACTCAAGAGTAAGAGAGAGTGCGCGCGTGTGTGTGTGTGTGTGGGTGGTGTGTGCGTGCATGCACCTGTTTGTGCATGAGTGTGCAAAGCTGCCGTGGCGGTGTTTCCACACATGTGATGTTGACCTATGTTGAACCGACAGGTGCGTATTCTTGCCAGGACCCCCGAGATGACAGGTGGCAGTGGGATGTGGACAAGACTCGTCAATTCCTGGATGAGGAGGTGTGCATTGATTCGCTCTGACCCCTAAGCCTCCCGTGGATGGGCATCTAGGCGACCATGGTCGATGACATCAAGAAGAAAAAGCTAACTAGCCGTGATGACTTGGGCACGTCACTCAGTGCTTGGATCTCTTCTCATTTGTACATAATCTCTGCGAGCTGACAGGCCTGCCCCTGCCCCCAACGGATCTGAAGCTGAAAGCCATTGCCAAAATCCAGCGCAGCAATGCAGCACAAGCGTCGAAGTTTGGGCCTCAGCTGTCTACACAGTCCTGCGAGTGCGGGAGCGGGTGCTTGAAGCACTTGAAGTCCGGACGTGTTGGGCAGGCAAGAAGCAGCGAAGGCCGAGAAGGAAGACAAACCGAAAGCCCCTCCTGCTGCCAACAAACGGCGGGGACGAGGGGGTGTCACCGAGGAAGTGCCACTACCTCAGCGGTTGCATCGTGGTGCATTGCACCCTTATTAATATGCCCAAGACGCAAGCTCGAGGGATGTGGACCTCGGGAATGTTGATGTCGAGTTCTTGAACTACAAGGCATCGCTCGGGAAGGAAACCAACGGCAACTTGCAGCAACTCGCAGCAATGCGCAGCTGTTGCTGCACGCTGTCCACAGCTTCTGGCCTGTTGCATGTCAAAGAGAAGGCGGGAGCTTGGTCTGAGCTTGCCTTTTGCTGCAGGGTCTCGTCATGACAAAGAAGCAGAAAGCAGCTTTCGCAGCGCGAGCCGCGAAAGCCAAGAAGAAACAAGACCGTCGCTAGGCCTGACCAAATGTCTGAAATCGGAGAAGATTTGACGGAACAGCGCGCAGTTTGATTGTGCTTGCTTGCGGAAGGAGTTCGGTAAGCTGAGCTTCGCGCTGTGGCAGTGAGTCAGTGAATGCTCCACCATGAGGCTAGAGTTGCGCTGAAAGATATGAAATATTCTGCTGTATGTCCGTGCTTGTTTCAAGAGGTGGGGGGCAGACTTGCAGGATCATGGACATGCATCACGGTGAGGTCTCACAAAGGTGGCTTGTCTTGCAGTTTTACTCTGGCTTCTCCGAGCAGAAAAGAGAGTGATAAGCCAGGCTGCGGTGTAAGCGTCAGATGACCTCCTGACCGCTCCGTGTGTACTGCTCCAGGCCACACGAACAGGTGCTTGCATGGACAGTCAAGCTCATGAGCAGAACAAGCAGACCACAGAGCGAGTAGCAGCTCCTGGGCTTAACTTTGTGAAGTGTTGCAGGGAGGGACCAGCTGAAGTGGTGTAGGACTAGCACGCCCTTGTCACGCAAGCAGGCATGGAGCATGCCAGGCCCATGCACCGTGTGGCGAATTCATCAAAAGAGGCATCTCCCAAGAAGCAGCTCCCGACGAAGCAGGGCACGAAATCTGCAGGGAAAGCGGAGACCGCGAAAGTTGCTTCAGCTCCGATCAAAAAGGAGCTCCCGACGAAGCAGGGCATGGCATCTGCAGGGAAAGCAGAGGCCGCGAAAGTTGCTTCGCCCCCCATCAAAAAGGAGCTGCCGACGAAGCAGAGCACGGAATCTGCAGGGAATGCGGAGGCCGCGAAAGTTGCTTCAGCCCCGATCAAGAAGGAGCTGCCGACGAAGCAGAGGACGGAATCTGCAGGGAAAGCAGAGGCCGCGAAAGTTGCTTCAGCTCCGATGAAAAAGGAGCTGCCGACGAAGCAGGGCATAGCATCTGCAGGGAATGCGGAGGCCGCGAAAGTTACTTCAGCCTCGATCAAAACCGAGCTCTCGACGAAGCAGGGCAGGGTATCTGCAGGGAAAGCAGAGGCCGCGAAAGTTGCTTCGCCCCCCATCAAAAAGGAGCTGCCGACGAAGCAGAGCACGGAATCTGCAGGGAAAGCGGAGGCCGCGAAAGTTGCTTCAGCTCCGATCAAGAAGGAGCTCCCGACGAATCAGGGCATAGCATCTGCAGGGAATGCGGAGGCCGCGAAAGTTGCTTCAGCCCCGATCAAGAAGGAGCTCCGGACGAAGCAGGGCACGGAATCTGCAGGGAAAGCAGAGGCCGCGAAAGTTGCTTCAGCCCCGATGAAAAAGGAGCTGCCGACGAAGCAGAGGACGGAATCTGCAGGGAAAGCAGAGGAGCTTCCGACTGTCTCGATGTCGCAGCAAATGGTTCCGAGCAAAAGAGCATCAAGGTCTGGCGTGCATGGTGGCAGAGCTGCCAAGCCTGAGAAGGCTGGCAAGTTTGGAACGGACGCCGACTTTGCGAAGCACAAGCGGCAGGCGACATCGACGGTCCCAGGCAATTCGCTGGGTGCTCCTGGAATTTCCACCCCTGGACATGCGCAGCCTGGAGGATTCGGGGATGGCTCGCTGGGCCCAGGCCCAGCCTTGTCCTCAAGAAAGAAACGACAGCGAGCTGCAAAGGCAGAGCCAGATTGCGATTGCCCAACAGCCTTCATGTCACGATGTTGTGTTGTATAGTCTCCTTGTCTGTGGGTTCGGAAAACGTGTACCGACAGGCGAAAGAAGCTTCCAGAAACGCCCTGCATGATGCATCATGGCTTGAACTTGGCAGGGTTTCAATCTCATGATTTTCAAGAAATATCATTGGCCATGGCTCGGATAGTATGGACTCTAGCTCTTTCCGCAAAGCTTGAAAAGCCATACAGCAGCAGTGACCGTTTGCATGTGCTGGCCGAGGCCAATCAAGCCACAGAAGAGCCTCTTGATTGCAGGCAACGAGTCTCGAATCGTTCCCTTAGAAGATTGTGCCGGCAGGGAACTCTTCGATGCCCAGGCCCAAGCTGAGACCTGGCTGAGTTCGAGACGAGCCGAGCATAAGCGAGCTTGAGCGCATCCGAGCCGAGCCAGGTCCCGGTCCCGGCTGCAAAGCGACGCCGCACAAGAGCAGGCCCAGCTAGACCTGCGCCAAAACAAATATTCCAGAATCTTATTTCAGGAATCAGACTTCTGAGATGCGCGGAGATTTCTTGTGTTTACGTGGAGGGCCCCGAGTGAACAGCGGGATGGTGCATGCCTTTTTCAACCTGCAGTCCCCTGCACAGATCAAGGTCTCCTTCCTCGTGATTCCTTTTCCCGCCAGCTCGTCGAATCATGGACTGGCTCAAATCAGCAACTTCAGATCTAATGTATCGCCTGCACCAGTTGAGCACAACCGGGCGGCTGAGATGCGGACATACATGGGGCCAGAACGGACACGAGTTCTTCACCCCCCTGAAGTGTCCGTACACGGCGATAGACCGATAGACAGCTGCTCTTCGTGATTTGCAGGAATGTGCTTTGGCTGTGGCCAGAAGCTGCCGGAGGCTGGGGCTTGATGCTGCTCTCGGAAACCCTATTTCAAGCCTCGTGGAGTTGCAGCGCATGGCAGTTGAGACCGTGCCAGGGTCCGGTTGCCTACGAGAGATCGGACCGAGAGAAAGGCCAGCTCACCGGGTCTGTGAATACAGTTTCGCGCGCTGTTGTCTGTTTGTTTGTTTGTTTGTTTGTTTGTTTGTTTGTTTGTTTGTGTGTGTGTTTGTCTGTTTGCCTCTTTGCCTGTTTGCCTGTTTTGTTTTCTGTTTGTTTGTTTGTTTGTTTGTCTTGTTTTTGCTCTCTCTCTCTCTCTCTCTCTGTCTGTGTGTGTCTCTGTGGTGCACGCGCGTGTGTGTCTGTGTCTGTGCGAGAGTGTGTGTGTGTGAGAGAGAGAGAGGGTGTGTGTTTGTGAGTGTGTGTGTGAGAGTGTCAGTGAGTGTTTGTCTGTGCGGGTGTGTGTGTGTGTGTTTATGTTTGCATGTGTGTTTGTGTTTGTGAGCGCGCACACCCTGCTCCTAACGGCCTTCACCTGGGCCCCAGAGCGGGCAGCTGTGGGATACACCCATTTTCATTTTCATCTCCATCTCATTTCATGCTGTGCCATTCCTGGTGTCTGACACAGTGAGGGCATCACCCATACCCTCACGGATCATCTCCATTACAAGTTCTGCATGCCATTCTCGATGTCTGGCATGCTTGGCAACTAAATCTTCATTCATTTCTCATCTTTTGTAACCAAATCCGTCCGAGAGTGCTCCCAGGTAGAGGCCAAGCGTTGCGGTGTAGTGAGGCCGGTACAGGCTCCAGGCAGGGTCTTCAACCTGTGCTGATTTGCCGCTACTGCACATCAGATGACGTGGCAAAAGTCACTGGCGAATGGGCACTATGCCTTGGTCGTGAGTCCCCAATCCTAACTTTCCGTGTGTGTCCCTCCCTCCCCTCCCTCCCCTCCCCTCCCCTCCCCTC